CAAAGACTCAAGTGCGGCTGACCCATGCCATAGTATTTTCAATTGCCTCATATACATATGAAAGCTGGACAATGAGTAAGGAAAACAGAACAAGAGTTGATGCATTTGAATTATGGTGTTGGCAAAGAACAGTGAATATACCATGGCCTGCCAGAAGAATAAACAAATCTCTCCTGGAAGAAGTACAGCCAGAATGCTCCTTAAAAGCGAAGATGGCACGATTTCTTTTCCTACTTTGGTCACGTAATCAGAAGGGACCAGTCCCTGAAGAAGGATATCACGCTTGGTAGAGAGAGGGTCAGTGAAAAAGATGAAGACCTTCAACAAGATTGATGGACACAGTAGGTGCAACAAAGGCTCAAGCACAGCAACAATTGTGAAGATGGCGCAAGGCAGGGTTGTTTTCATTCTGTCGTACAGAGGATCACAATAAGTCAGAACTGACTTGTTGGCACCTACTGACAATTGAAGTAGAAAAGAAAAACAGCATACTTTCTGTATCAGGGTAGGCTTAGCAATAAATCTGGCTTGATGTGAAGATGTTTATTTCCATATACCTTCCTAGGGAGAGCCAGCTTTTTTAATCCTGAAACAGTAATATATGTATTTTTCTTTCCTTCCTTCTAGTATAGATACACTTTTAATAATTTTTCTTAATTACCTGGGAGGATCCAAATGCTTGAATTGAATTAAGAAAGCTGTTTTTGCTTAGTCCATTAACAGACTTGCCATAACCCAAATGTTCATCTTTTTAGGGCAAGTTTGTTTTTTTCTGATTATACCACCACATTTATTCAGCATTATAATGGGAGAACATCACAATTCATATTACATGGTTATTGTGGATAAGCATAAAAGAGATGTAGACATCCCTGCAATTTAGGAGAAACACTATGCTAAACCAGCATATAAATTTTACTGCTCCTGTGAATATTACTTGTTTTCTTCACAGCAGTAGCCCACTGAGGTCAATTTTAGAATCAAATCACTAGTAATAGATAAACATACAGAAATCAATGCTCATTGGTGGTTACCAGGAATGGGGAGAGAGGGAAGCACTCTTGAGACTGGACATTGGTTACTTTTGATGATGGGGAAAGTAGTATCAAATATGGGTGAAGTGTACACAGCCTGACCAGGTAAATGATATCACTAAAAAGGACACAAGAGAAATGGATGTTTCTGATAAATATATGCAGCAATACCAAGAACCAAAAAACATGCATGGTTACACAAATATGTATATAGATACATATGTATAGTGATATGAATGTGGGTACACATGTGCACAGACAGATGTATTCATAGGCATATGTATATACAAATATGTGTGTATGAACATGTACATCCACATATATAAAATAAACCACATAGGAGACAGACATAGTATGGTTACTTCTTAGACATAATCAAATACCTTATGAGAGTGGTTTTCTGGGTTTGAAGTTTTAGGACCATAGATTTGTGGAGCAACTCAGTTACTTGGCATAATATAGTTTATAAAATGTATGTTCTACATCCCAATGTGGTGAGTAGTGTCTGGGACTTAAAACTTGTGAGTACCAATCTTTAAGATACAACTATTGTTCTCTATGCATCTAGAACAAAAGAAAAACAAGACAACCTGACTCAGAGTAGTCTTTGGACTAACAGCATACACAAATTGTGGCCTTATCTACCCTAAGACCAGAACTAGATGATGCCCAACTACCACTTCCAACTATTCTGATCAGAGCCACTCAGATGGATCCTAATGCAATGGAAGGAAAATGTGGAACAGATATCAAATTCTTAAAAAGTCCAGACTTATTGGACTGAGACTGGAGGACTCCCTGAGACTATTACCCCAAGGCATTCTTTAAACCTTAAACTGAAATTATCCCTTGAGGTCACCTTTTAGCGCAATAACAGATTGGCTCATAAAATAAAGAGTATCACCCACGAGCAATGAATGAGCTCCTTCAAAAAATCAGCTATGAGGCCAAATGGTCAAAAATTAGTCTAAAGCAAAGATGAGAAGGTAAGGGTGCAGGAAAATGACAGCACTGGAAATGGTACAACTAGAACGGAAGAAATGAGAAGGATGACACATTATGTACCTAGTACCAAAGAATAATTTGTGGAGAAATTGTTAAAATGGGAACCTAATTTGCTGTGTAAACATTCACCTTAAATACAACAGGTCTTTCATATTCTAAGAACCAAATTCTATTACTAAACTGTTTGCAACCATATTTATCCTTACTATCTCTCCCCTTCATTAGATTAAGTGCAATTTCCATGTCATATAACATTTTTAAACCACAGACATTTGTCTAGCACCTCTCAAGCTTACAGTACATCTACCAATATACCTGATTTAATCCTGAAAATCCTGCTATTTCCAAAACCAATGTAACATACTATGAAACATGCAATATGATATTGAACCAAAATATCAGGTAACATTTAATAATTGCAAATATATTTATTACAATGTACAGATTAGTTAAATTTCATACACAAATATAAGTTTAGCTATAAAATCCAACAAACTGGTTACATTTAATCATTAGTTATGTAGAAGCCAATTTAGAAGTCTTCTAGTCCCCTAATTTCACCTTCCTTAAATTATAAAAAAATAAAATCTGATAGTTTTGATTCAAGTTAAAGAGGTGCTGTTATCACATTTCAACACTCAGAAATAGAAATTTTAACTGCACAGTCTTTCACATGCTACATTGACACTTAAAGCACCAGTACAAGACTTTTAATGTGTAAAATATTCAATTAAAACCTCCAAGGATTTTATTTCTAAGATTGTGGGGGTTGAACTGTTCTAACTAGGAGTGGTACTGAAATTATTCTTGGGTTGTTTTTTCTTTCAATCCAACTTAAAAATGGTCCCTTCTGCCCTTCTCATCACTGTCCACTTCTTTTAGAAGAAGGGAGTATATGGGAGAATTCTTAGTCAAGCTTTTATGGTACTCATTTGGTAGTGAGGTTGGTATGCCAAGGGAACAATTTTCCAAAATCCAATAACTGTAAAGATACCCTGTTATTTTCAAATATGCAGAGATGTTAGATTTCAGAAACACAAAACACAACCTAAGTCTTTGAAATAAAATAGTATGCTTCAGCCTAGTTTTAGAAAACATACCCTTACTTTTTTTTTTTCCTGTGCCCTTACATTTTAAAAAAAGCTTTTTTCATGATAAATTATATCTGCTTTGCAATCAACACAGCTGGTGCTTGAACCTAGCCTGTTTTCATGGTTACTACACCAGACTCTGTGAATGTATTCCCTATCCCTACCTGAAGTAGAGGGGCACCAAAGGAGAACAGAGGCTCTACAAAAATTTTGACCAATTTTTGTGGTGTTGCACTCTCAGTGTGTGTATGTCTGAATGTAAGTGTTAACACTGGAGGCAGTTCTTAGAGCAAACCAGATAGAAATAAAGTAATGACCTGGTAGATTATACACTGAGGTAGTAACCTTGAAGCGCTTCTGATGAAAAATTCATTCCCATACTGAAACAAGTTCAAAATTAAGAGAATATCTACTCTACTCATGCCTTCCCTTATCTGTGACAGAAAGTACATGCAGTAAAAATAGAATAATGAGTCTGTTAACAGTCCCTCACCCTAACAGATTGATACCATGTAGAGTTCACTGAGTAAACCAAGCACAACCAGTAACTACAAAGACTTTGATTCAAAAGTAAACTTTGGGCTAACGATATTGAGATTTTCTAGTTGTTAAATCTATAGTTCTACCCTTTCCTGAGAGAAGTCAGGCCTTACTATTACTCCTCTCTTTAAAACAGTGGAACACAATAAACTTGGACAAGGACTACACCTGTATTTTACATTTTAAACTGGAAAATTCAGAACTGCCCATTTCCAAGTTTATAGTGTCACCCTGACAGGTTTTAAAAGTGACAGTGCTGAGGCTTGAGTTAAATAACACTGGTTTTTGTTAAGAGGAGGATATACAACAAAACCAAATCGCTCTAAGATGTCTCCCATCTTCTTCCTAGGAAACTCTAGGCTTTTGAATTTAAAAAAATAAATGCCTATGATGCAAGTATTACTTTCTGGTGTCTTTTACAACAATTTCTATCTATTGAAAGATACAAATAACCACATTCAACTGGGAACTATAGTAACATATACAGGAATCCCTCCATAAAGCAGTTTGCACAGAAATTAAATATATTAGATGTTAAAATTTGGCAGAAAATGCAGCTTTCCCAAAGTAGTAGAAAGTACTGCACATGAAGGTTTTGTGACAGTCCTTGGAAATAACTTAGGCAGAAAAGAAAATAAAAATCCACCACATATTTTCAACCAGTCATTAAAAAAAAATAATAATAATATGTATATATATATACATGTATATACACACACATATATGTATGTACTTATATATGTGTGTGTGTGTATATACATATACATATATATAAAACATGACATAAGGCAAAATATACTTTAAGTGGTAGCATACACAAAATTATTTTCTTAACCTTAAGGCAGAAGGGCCAAATCACTGAATTAAAAAATAGAGAAAACACGTCTATTAAATTTAGAATGCCAGGAAGAAAAAGAAAGAGCCCAAAGCTTTTAGACAAATATATGTAATTTAAATTAGAATTGGCTTTGAACCCTATAAATATTGTCTTCCAAGAAATCAAGTTTTCAAAGTGCAAAATTACAACATAAAAGGTCCCCTTCTCAGCTCAACAAGCAAACTGCATTCAAAAACACATCCAATTAAATCATAAAAGAAATGTCTTCAGAAAGGGAAGGATTAGAAATAATCACACAACGTCATCTTTCAATCCTGGACATTTCTGAGTGGGCTATGTTGCAAAAGAATATTAAACTGGGTCACTGGATCCACGGTGCATTTCTTTTAAAAAGAATGTCAAAGGACAGCTGCCAATTTTTGTTTTTAAAAGAAACCTCTCAACTAAGAGGTAGTGTATGCTAGGGCTAGAGGTTGATAAACCACCTTAACATTACTTGGAAACATTAAGTTCTTTGAAGTATGTTTCTTGGAGTCTATTAAACATCCTTTCTCTGTGCTCAAATGTCAAGCAATATCCAATAGCATCTTCAGTCTCTTGAATTCGTTTCTGGAACCTGCATCCATCCCGTGCAAATTCCTCCCAGGGTCCTTTGCGATCTTCATCACCACTTATATAATACTCAGTAACTTCTTCAAGAAAGGTTACCTATAAAGACAAAGACTAATAACTCTAGGATCTTACAGTTAGCATTGAGGTCAATAACCCTTTATACTACTAGTTCTTTAAAAATATCATATATTTTATAGGATACTTGGTCTCAACATTCTGACTGGATGGGCAGATGCATTTCTTCCATTTATACATACATACGGATTTATGTATGTGCATGCTGTGTATATATACACACATATTCTCTACCCTTGATTTTTGATGTAATAAAATGAATCCAGATAGAGAAATGAAATTTTCCTGTTATTGATTCCTGCTTTTTTAATCTTTAAGGAAATATAGTTATAATACTCTTACCTCAAAAATGACCAAAGTTTTCAAAGAAAGTATTTCAGAAAATCACCACTGTATTACTTGGAAATTAAGGCCTTAACAATATTTTTAATTAGTTCTATTCTTCCTTTTTTAAAAAATTCATTCTTTCGTGCTTTCCAATTTTTGAATCATGAACACATTATTTCTATTTTTGTATTATTAATCTTGTAATCAGAATATAGAAGAGAAAGCTAATTGGTAAAGTGCAGCAAAATTTATTATCTTAAAGGCTGTGCTACTAAGAGACTTTGGAGTTAAGATAAAAACTCTATTTGTATTTCCATTCAATATGCCATCACTATAGATACATAAAATTGTGAATATTTTAATATGCAGGATGACATGTAATGAGTTGATAATCCTTTTCAACCCGTTTAATTTCTAATACAGAAGTTTCTAAGATATCAAACTACAGAAGTAAATACTTGCTTTAAAGTATGTTCAATAGTTACATCAGCTAATTCCACTGTGGCCTACTACTTTCATTCCCTTTACATCAGGCCTAGAAATGCCCCCGAGGACAATTAGTAGGTATGTAACACCTTACTAAATATTGCATTCTAGTCATTACTCATTCACTGTCACCAAGATAAATAATAATACTAATAACAAACTTATATAGTGTTTACCATATGCCAAAGCACTTTACAGTTTTTCTCACACATCAACCCTGAGGTATGTAGTATTATCATCCCCACAGTAAAGGAAAAAGAGGCACAGAGAGGCTAACCGACTTGTCCAGGTCACACAGCTTCTAAGTGGTGTAATAAGGATTCAAACAGACTCTAGTTCCATAATGTGCACTGTTATGCCATCACACAAAGTGTTTTCCACTAGATCTGAAAGCTTCTTTCCAAGAACTAGACACTACCCATTTTTCTCCTATACCTAGAGAATGGCAAGTAGTCAAAGGCTGTCACATAATTTCACCATATTTGAAACATATGTTTTTCCAAGTTTTGTTTCAAGTTCAGTGTCTCCTACTAACTCATCTCATTGCACTCAATGAGCAAGCTAAAGAGACATGAGACTGTCCTGAGGTCCTTAAACAGTAAGAGCTACCATATAAAGGCAAAGAACTGAGTGAGTTGTACTCACTCATCTAAGTCTTGCAATAACTCATACAGTAGATACTATTTCCATCAGATAAATGAGTAATTCACAGCCATGAGAAGTCATGTACTTCCCAGGTCTGGCTTTCTCTCTATCTCTTGCCTCAACCACTCAGAATACAAGGTTCCAGATGCCAAGTGCTCATTTCATTGCCCCACAGGTTCTTACCTTTCTATTTTAAATAGGTTTTGTCAGGGGCTCCCTAACAGGATAAAGAAAAGCTCTTTCATCATTGCTTTTACTTAAGTGTGCACTAAAATTTAATTTTTAATATAACTTGTTCTCCTTCTACAGTAAGATATAAGATTACCACCATTTAGAAACATTTTATACTCTTGGAATAATTTCAAAGAATTAAGCTGGCCATTTGGAACCAAGAGATCATGGTACTGTACAGTATACTTCAGAGTCCCTCAGGCTGCTGAATCTGAGGTTAACATTTCACCCACTCCTTTCTTCTTTCAAATAAAGGTTTAGGTAAAGTTTCCTCTACAACAAAAAGCTTTGTGTGTGGTGAGGAATTTTTTTTTCCAATTAATAACTTCAGCTGAATTAAACATAAGGGGGTAAAAAAAAAGGCAATTCAAAAGACTCCCAAAATAAGGTTAATTTGACAATATGCTGAAAGAGTAAAATGCTCCATGAAGTTTTAAGACAAGCCTGGGAACAGGAAGCAACATACACCAAATAACTGACCAATATTTACCTAAGGAGCTCTGACGGCGCAATGGTTAAAGCACTTAGCTACTAACCAAAAGGTCAGTGGTTCAAACCCACCAGTCACGTCATGGGGAAAAGATGGGGCAATCTGCTCCTATAAAGACTGACACCCTGGCATGTGAGTTAAACATTTACCTCAAGTAGACACATGCCCTGGAGAGAACAATCATGGGAGAAGGAAGGGCTGCTTATGCACAGGGAGATAGCTCAGGGTGCAGAAGAGTATGAAGGGATGGACACTGGGAGGAGGTAACTATGGGGAGGAAGTGGGAGGGGAGCTGCTGCATTGTAATTTTTGGTCAATGACATGAGACAAAGTATATGTGAACTGCTGTATGAAAAGTGAATTTACTCTGTAAATCTTCACCCAAATCCTAAAAAAAAAAAAAAAAAAAAGACTGACACCCTTGGAAACTCCACGGGGCAATTGTTCTGTACAGGGTTGCTAAGCTGGAATCGACTCAATGGCAATGGGTTTTATTTCTTGGTTTACTGTTTATATATGATTTTCAACTTGCAGTTGTTAAAGGTAACTAGTATTGTGTTCTTAAGGGAATATCATTCCCTATATTGCTTCTGATTGTCAATCAAAACCACATACATGTCAAAAAAGTTTTTATACTGAAACTAGTATTTTCTTTCCTGGCAAACAACCAGGTAAATTTGACCTGGTGCCATCATCCCTTTGGGTTCCAATGAACAAGAATGAGGACAGTTATCATGTATGTAAAATATTAAGTGTTGGCCAATGGTATACCACATAAAAACCATTTTAAAACTATAATAGTACTGTCTCAATCTCTAGCATAATTAAATTGTGTGTATGTCTGTTCTGAGAAGCTGAAGCCTATAGGGAAACTGCTAATCCACGTAGAGGTCTTCCTCAAAAATACGCACTACTAGTCCTCCAAAAAAGTCATGCTCTACATTTAACCACATCAAAACAGTCAAATCAAATTACCAGGCATGTTAAGAGACAGAAAGTATAAACAAACCTTTTTTCTTTTGATATGCCTGTGTCTTTCCCCATAAAGAAGCTGGCAGTGTACCAACTCTGGACAATCATTTCCTTGACTCTCTAAATGCTGCACCTTACAAGAAAATAAGGTGTGACACTCAGAAATAGCCACAAGGGACTCAGATGGTCTCTCTGAGTCATGGTGGCCTTTCCAATTTTTCCCTGATGTTTGAAAGGGAGCCTTAAAGTTCAAAGGGTTATAGGGGTCATCAGAGTTACAGAAAGAGTTCCATAGTCTGAGATTCTCAGCCTCATCTGCACTAGATTCCCAGTCATCTTCCTCTCCAGAACTCTGGTCAAGAGACTCAGGAATGCTTCTTTCAGTCTGGGGAAAATTCTCTAGATCAGATTTGTCAGAAAGATCCTTCTCTGAATCAGAAGGGTCTCCAGGACCAATTCTGGCTGCAGTCTGAATTGTTGCTGTAAAGTTCTGGAGATTATAAGGATCTACACTGTAGAAAGAGTTCCAAAGATGAAGTCCTTCAGCATCTTGGTCAAGATCTGACTCCAAAAGTGAGTTATCACTGTCAAAACCATCATCCTCCGCTTCCTCATCCCAATCCTCACCTTGGGAATCAGAACTTGACTCTAGGTCACTGGACACACCTCCCAAAATGTAATCGATCACTTTGTTACTACAAGCTGGTCTGGTAGACATGGGAAGGTCATCTTCTATGTCTGAGTAGTCAACCTCACTAACTTGGTCCTCTTCAGATTCTTTATCTACAGACACTTCCCAAGACGGACAGCTTTCAAAAGGGTCCTGCTTTTCTAGAGCAAGTGGGACCTCTTTAGTCAACAATTCTATGTTTTCCTTGGTGACTTCCTGGGAGGTGCCAGGAATAGCCTCCACAGGGGAAACCAACTGTGGTGGACTCTCTCCGCAGTGTTTCAGATCAATCCGAAGAAGGTTGTGCTCCTCCTCCAGGCTGTGGTAGCCATGATCTTGGTCAGGGGTGGGTAATGCTTGCCCTTTGCTAGCCTGCTGCAAGAATTCCAGTCGTTTCATGCGAAGATGGTGGACTTCGGGCAGGCCTTCTCTAGAAGAAGGTGGACATCCCTGCCACGAGGCTTCAGTGACCTCTGCATTAAGCGGCTGGGGGTAACAATGGTCATCAGTCAGGCAGCTCTCTGGAGTCAGTGTCTGGTAATCAACGAGCTGGCCACTTGCCACCCTGTTCTGATAACTGAGCTCTATTCCAGGAAGGCAGTCCAAGTAGGAGGGGTTCAGCAAGTAAGAAACTACGTCGAAGTTGCTTAACTGCTGAATGTTGAAAGCCTCTGAGGGCGAAGAGCCAAGTTCCTGGTCAGAGAAAAGCCGGGCTCCAAAGCTACTAGGCAACAGCTCCACTCTCCACAGCTGCTGTTCTAACAAGAGAGCGTGTGGGGCAGGGTCCAAAGCATTTTTCTTGGCTTCATGTGCCAAGTCCAGATCTGAGGGTGAGCATTGCCAATGGATCCCCTCCTCTAACCAATCAAGGGGGCTGGCAGCCGAGTCGTCCAAGGGGCCGAGCCGCAACGAACTCACAGATTTCTGGGCGGTGGGGATGGCAGGTTCCTCCCGCCCCCTCAGAGCTCTCAGGACGCTGTAACCTCCAACAAACTCCAGCCATCTGGTAGGAATCATCCCACCGAAAAGCTGGCTCCAAATCAGCAGCTTCTGCAACAAGCTAGGGAGCGGCGCAAAAAGTTGGGAAAGCAGCTTCATCCAGTAGCTGGTCCGAACCTCGGGCTGGGGAGACGAAGCCAGTTTGGGGTCCTCGGGGTTTTCCCTGGCGGAAGGTGTCGGGTATTTGGAAGAGCCTGGCCGTAATTTCCAAAAGAAGAGGAAGGGGAGCCGGAACCCCGAGCCCGCCCGAGGAGCAGCCCGTTTCCGCGATCCGTCTGCTCCCGGCTCCATCTCCTTTTTCTTGGCAATCTCTCAGGTATCCCGAGCTCATCGGCTGGAGATCGTACGAGATTAGGAGGAGGCCTAAACAGTCTTGGTCTTGCCTACCGGCGGAGTCGGTGCTCCAGGCTGATCCCTGGGCCAGCAGAGGAGCCACAGAGGGAAGCGGATTCGGCAACAGGCGGCAGACCACAGCCCGGAATGGTAGGAGCAGGACGCAGCAGCTGAGACGAAATCCATCCTGGCGAGGAAGGAGGTATTCTAGTCTGGTCGAGGCCTCACCACCATATATAGGAGTCCTCTCAGGGCGGCGACTTTACAGACGAGAGGGACCGTTAAAAAGCCCCTTAGCAGCCCGACACCGGAAGGCAGACGACTGCGGGTGGAAGCAAAGTCCAAAATGGCCGCAGGGCTAGGGCCGAAGCAGGACACCTCTAGGAAACCGGATGGGACGAAGGACAGCGTCTACGCCGCCGGCGCGGCGCCGCTGAACGTCACTCGCAGAGCACCGGGAGGAGCGGGGGGCGGGTCTTTCCGCACACTTCCGTGTGGCTTCTGATTGGTCTCGCCCATTTCCCAGACGGTTTCCTTACTCTCAGTAGACGCAGTCGCACGCGGGAGGTTGCATCAGCCTAGCCATCGCTGTGCGCGTGCGCTGTTGTTTCCCAGTGGTCTCCTAGGAGATCGCCCGGCTGCCCTTTGGGCTAAAGAGTAGGGCTTGGGGCTATGGAGGTATTTCGGGATAACCCTTGAATTCCTTTGAGCCCTAATACACACCTAAGTGTGTACTATCTTATGTATTGGCGTTCCAGCATTTTTTGAGAGCCAGGTATATCATCAATCTGAGATCTTAGTATATACTAAGAGTTGGGCACTGCTGTGCATATGATATACACGCTTGGCGTTAGTTAAGACACTTAAATCTTAAGTGGAAAATGGATCATTCTGGGTATTCCTTCCCTCTTGGTATTAGGGAAGGAGCTCTGGCAGCCTAGTGCCTAAGGCATTTGACTGCTAACCAGAAGGCTGGCGGTTCAAACCCACCAGCCACTCCTCAGAAGGAAAAGTGGGCGGTCTACTTGCATAGTGATACCCCCTCGGAAACGCAAGGAGGGGTCTCTATGAGTCGGATCGGACTCCAAGGCAGTGAGTTTGGTTGTTTTTTTTTTTGGGGGGGGGGCTTAATATTAGGGAAAGAGCTCTGGTGGCATAGTGCCTAAAGCGTTTGATTACTAACCAGAAGGTTTGCAGTTCAAACCCACCAGCCATTCCGTGAAAGGAAGACTGGGCAGTCAATGGCAGTGAGTTTGGTTTGGTATTAGGGTTACTAAACAACTCAGCATTGCTTGAAATCGAGCTTTAAGATCATGTACTTCGGTATACGTTGCTTGGGTGCTGCTTCCCTGTTACACTATCCGCTTTCACTGTGGGGCCGGCTGAAGTCACAGAGGAGGGAAGAAACAGTCCCAGAACCATTTACTCTTTGTTGCTTCCCAGCAGGCAATACCTTCGTTTCAGATTTGTTTTGAGCTCCCCAAACCGCAGAGTATAACACCCAAAGAAGAAAATACAACCTATTTTGAAAAAATGTTGCCTGATAATTTTAATTGCTGCATTTGATACTCTCTTGTGAGTTTGGTCTTAATTTATTTCCTTATTTCTCCTCAAATTTTTAAATCCATACCCCTGAAGTTAAGTATCTATTACAGAAGGAGAATAGCAGTTAGGAGGATTAGGGACTGCAGAAAAATCTCTTGGGAGGCTGGAAGAGGCAAGCTACTACTACTGCTTATGAGGCAAGTTCAAGGAAACTTCTTTCTAGGAAGCTAAAAAACAAACTACAAACTCGTTTCTGTGGAGTTGATTCTGACTTATGGTGACCCCAGTGTTACAGAGTAGAACTGCTCCATAGGGTATTTTTGATTGTAATCTTTATGAAAGCAGATCTCCAGGCCTTCCACCCCAGCACCCTTTGTCCTACTGTGAGTGGGTTTGGCTAACAACCTTTAGGTTAGTAATTGAGCACAAACCTTTAGGAAACTAAGAGGTCCTCAATTTCTGTTGTTTACCCTTTGTTGTCTTGTGATACATATCTCTGGAAATTCTTCTCAATTTAAGAACTTCAGAAAAAAGTATAATAGAAATACTATTATTTTTATCTGGTGGCATAGTGCCTAAGGCATTTGAATGCTAACCAGAAGGCTGGCGGTTCAAACCCACCAGCCACTCCTCAGAAGGAAGGTAGGGCAATCTACTTCCTAAGTAATACCGCCTCAGAAACCCAAGGAGGGGTCGCTATGAATCAGATCCAACTCCACAGCAGTGACGTTTGGTTTCTTTGGTTTGGTATTTAATAATATTTCATTTTAATAATAGAAAAGATAGAAAAGAGATTCAAGTATGCAAATTAATTACTGGACGTCTCAGTTTCTTCAGCTGTAAAACCAAAAACCAAACTCACTGCCATCCAGTGGATTCTGACCTATAGCGACCCCATTGGGTTTCTAAGGCTGTAAATCTTTACGAAAGTAGATCGCCCCATCTTCCTTCCACAGAGGAGCTGGTGTGTTTGAACAGCGAGGCTAATAATTCCTCTTTCAATGGGTTGGTAAGAGAACTAAGTTACTAATACAGTGCCTAGCCTAGATAATATATATATATATATATAATAGATAATGGGAGCTCTGGTAGCATAGTGGCTAAGGCACTTGACTGCTAACCAGAAGGCTGGTGGTTCAAACCCACCAGCCACTCCTCGCAAGGAAGATGGGGCAATCTACTTCCATAGTGATACTGCCTCGGAAACCCAAGGAGGGGTTGCTATGAGTTGGGTCCGACTCCACGACACATAACAACAACAACAACAACAAGCCTAGCTAATAAAACAAACAAACAAACTCACTGCCCTTGAGTCCATTCCAACTCATAGCGACCCCTCCTTGGGTTTCGAAGGCGATATCACTACGGAAGTAGATTGCCCAACCTTCCTTCCGAGGAGTGGCTGGTGGGTTTGAACCACCAGCCTTCTGGTTAACGGTCACATTAGCTAACATTCTCATGTTGTTCTCCTACATTAAAACCTTCGGTTTTTTCACATTACCTACAGAATGAAGGCTATATACAGTCTGTCCTCCCACCACTTTCCAGCCTCTTTAGTCACGTCTTTTCGTGTATGTTAAACTCCCAAAACATTGGACTAAGTGTTCCTTGTTTCATGCCTTTGCTCATACTATTCCTCAACCAAGAAAGCCCTCACTTTACCTGTCACGCTTTAAAGTCCAACTAAAATATCAACTGCTCCTTGAATCCTTTGCTGACCTTCCCAGTCAAAATTAATTGATCCTTTCCAGCAGTTCTCTCAGGAGCTCTGGTGGCATAGTATCTAAGGCATTTGAATGCTAACCAGAAGGCTGGCAGTTCAAACCCACCAGCCACTTGGAAGGAATCTACTTCCATAGTAGTACTGCCTTGAAAACCCAAGGAAGGGGTCACTATGAGTTGCAATTCGACTTACATCATTATACAGTTAAGAGTAGTTAACACATTGCACTATGTATACTTATAAATGTCCTCTCCTGCTGGTCTCTGAGCTCCTTTGAGGGCTGTATCCCAACACTGTTCTTGTTATTTGCCATCGAGTTGGACCCAACTCATAGCAACCCCTCCTTAGGTTTCCGAGGCAGTATCACCAAGGAAGTAGATTGCCCAACCTTCCCTCCGACAAGTGACTGGTGGGTTTGAACCGCCAGCCTTCTGGTTAGCAGTCAAGTGCCTTAGGCACTATGCTACCAGAGCTCCTTATCCCAACACTAGCACAGTGGTTCTCATTGTGTGGTGAGGGCATCCCTGGGGAACTCATATTTTCAGGGTCCTCAAGGTCAAAAATATTTTCAAGATAATACCAACCTATTATTTTCCTTTTAAACTCTCATTGTCTCATGAGTGTGCAGTGGAGCCTTCTAGAGGATACATAATGTGACAACAGACTGAATGCAAAAGCAGATGAGATGCCGGCTGTTTTCTACTAAAGCCAGGAAAGATTTGCAAAGAACTGTAAAACAATGTCACTCTTCTCTCTAAACTATTTTTGTTATGAAAAATACTTTTTCACTAAAAACGTTATTTTCACTAAAAGCATTACATTGGTTTATTACTTTTAAATAAATATATTTTTTTAATTCTTCCACTTTTAGTTTGCAAACAGTAAATATCGATAGGTACAACACACATAAACAAAGGTTCTTTGGGATCCTCAATAATTTTTAAGAGTGTAAATGGATCTCGGGGCCAAACAGTTTAAGAACCACTGACCTAGCATGTTGATTGCCACATAATAGGTGCCAAAAAAAACATTTGTGGAATGAATGGAAAAAAAGTAATAATACTTTAAAATAATAAATGTGAATTTGCTCTGTAAACTTTCACCCAAATCACAAATTGAACAAAAATAATAATAGCATTTTCCTTATAACCAAACCTCTTGCACTCTACTCAACTCTGTTACTGACACCACATGCCCTTAAAATTAAAAAATTCTTAAACTTTCTTGAATGGGCCTCTCCCTCCCTACCTAGTTATTAGATACATAGTTTCATTCTTCCTTACCTTTTAAAGTTATTCTAAAGGGGGAAAAAAGAAAACAAAACCATGAAGCAATAAACATAAGTAACTTAATTTTGCCTTGTCAGTCTTGACAGGAAGAACAGTGTAAGCTTGCCTTCTCAAACCTGCTATCAGCTAGAGGGCAGAGAGAGGACAGCTCTGTACACAGAGATAATGAGTTGCCATGGCTGTGTGCATGCTGGTGAACACAAGATGTCCTTGGACGGGCAAGCTGACTGGCCCTTTGGAAGACCATAGTAAAACTTCAGTTAATTACATTTATGTTAAAGATTTTGCTTGGCCTGATGTAAATTTTATATAGCTTTTGACTGTATTTTACAGAGTCGGCTTCACCAACACCTGTAAAACAAAAGCAAAACCATTGCTTTTGACTTGATTCCAACTTATAG